GGGCGGCGCTCTCGGAAAGTCCCGAGAACCGGCTGGTCCTGGCAGCGCTGACGAGAAGCACAGCCGTTTAGGGGAAAGAGAAATCGAAAGCAGCCGCCGGCGACTCGCTGGCTCCGCCCACTTCCAAAAGTGGCCCGCCCAGACGGTTTTGGGAGCAGGCGTTGACATCAGATCTGAGATTCCGGGGAACAGCCCTGATGCCCCATTTTCTCCATCCCGCACCCCCTTCTCTCTTCTCCCGGCCTCCTCCCTTTCCCCTCGCACGAATTTTCCCTTCCCAGCCTCGGGGCGGGGCCCTTTCATCACCTGTCTCCGGGCAGATCTACCCGCGCGGGTTAGCGCCCGGCGCGAAGCCGACGGGGACACACGCGCCTCCTGGCGGGCGCCGCGAAGGGGCGGGGCGGCAGGCTGCGCTCCGCGCGCGGTCCCAGGTCCGAGTCCAGCGCCCCAGGCAGCGAGGAGCGCGCGGCACCTGGCAGGGATGCTGCGGGCGGGAGCACCAGCCGGGGATTTATCCCGGGCAGGAGAAGTCCACACCGGGGTAATGGGCCTGGGCTTGAGGGTTGAGAGGGGTGGAGGGAACGCAGCGGCCGGGGACCCTGGATGCGCCGCGAGGTGAAGACGGAGACTAACGGGAGCGTAGGGAGGTAGCTTGCAGCAGCCAGTGCTTGTACCCCGCAGTGAACACAGGGCATTTCTGTTCCGAAGGGGACCGTCTAGAGGGTCCGTGAAGGGCTGGGGCACGCGAGGCTGGTGGAGAAGGGGTGCTTTGGCTTTTAGCTGGAAGCGTCAAGGGAAGCTATTCTAAAGAGCTTTCGCTTTCACTCTGGTCTGGACAGTGAGGGCTGGCTAAATCAAGAAGGGTTTAGCCTTGGTTGGGAAGGGTGCAAAGAGATGAGGAAACAGAGCCCTGGGTGAAGTTGGGCAACGCTTGGGAGAAGGAAACATGGGCACTTATTGAGAAGGCCCAACTCATCACACAGACCTTTGATAAACTTGCCCTTGGGTCAGTCTTAGCGCAAGCACTGATAATGGGGGTTCTGTTGGCCAGTTTTTCCCCATCTTGAACCAGGAAGGCCTTTCCTTGGTCTAGGTGCTGCCACCAAGTATTCTATTCCCTGTGTCTCCCCTGCCCATTCCCATGCACCTACTGAAGGACTTTGGGCAGGATGGACACCTGGGGCAGATGGCAGCCCCAAGGCTGGATGGCTCCTGCTCTCGGACTACTGTCACCACTCTTGGCCTGGGGGCGACTTTGCTATAAAGGATTAGCTTCTAGGAAGGAGTTACTTCTGTTCTCGTGGCCCCCTATTCATAGTAAATCAGTATGTGGAAAGCAAACTCAGAACAGTGCCCCTAGGGGCCAGAGTAACCCATGGCTGGTGGGAAACGGAGCAGTGAATTATAAGAAGGAACATCTCCCTCGCTGCCAAATGACCAGTAGCAAGCAGGAAGCAGAAGCCAAAACAAGGGATGAGAGTTAGACATGGGTTTTAGTCCCTGGTCTGCTACTAATTCTGTGTGGCCTTGGATAAATCATTTGCCTTTTCTATGACTCAGTTTCCTCACTTGAATCGAGGATTTTTAAACCTCCTTCCAACTCAACTCTTGCTTTATCCTCTCTTACTCTTTTTAAACTTTTCTTGACCTGGAAAAGTCAGGTTAAACTCCCCATTCAAATGCTCTCTTGCTACAGTTCTCTTCTCCTGGCTACCTAGACATCTATTTATCTCTTGATCAAAAATCCCTTAAGTGAAACTTATTTTAAACCACCTGTGTGTTCCTTGCTGTTTCCCTCCTGCTTTGGCTCCTCGCCATGCTAACCACTCACCTCCTCGATGTTTTTCATTGTTCAGTAAACTGAAGGGGTTCATTTGTGATTAAGTGGGGAGAGGGAGTGGAGGATTCTGGGCCCAAAAGGGTCTGACCTTGTTTCCCAAGGTCACAGTAACTTGCTCTGTGTTGGGTCTGAACCACATCTGCACACACAGTGCAAACATGCAGTGGAGATAATTCACTTGTGGAACTGTTTCACTGGCGCTCCTCTCAAAGGGAGCACTTCGGCCTCGAGAAGCCTCATTCCAGTCTCTCGCCTAGAGTGGAAAGGTTCCATTAGGAAAGTTGGGGCTTAAGAATACAGTTCTTTCTGTGTTGTATCACAGCCAGGCTGTGACATTCCTCTGCAGCCAGAAGAAGAAATAGAGATGGAGGGAAAAAAACCTACAACTGGGAGTCAGCGCTGGCCTGAATTACTGTGTGACCTTGAGCCAGTCACCTCCTCTCTCTAGGAATGTTTCCTCTTTTGTAACATGGAGGGATCAAGGTGCTTCCTGCTCTGACATTCCCTACCCTGTGTCTGCAGACAACTATCATGGCAGTGGAGTTTGATGGGGGTGTCGTGATAGGCTCTGATTCCCGGGTGTCTGCGGGGTGAGTACCAGTGATATATATATTTGGAAGGAAGCCAGTGGCCCCAAATACACATTTTCTTACCCGTTCATGAGAAGATTCACAGACTGGAGCTTTGAAATTAAGTTGACCCTTCCAAAAAGCCACTATACTAAGCTATTTGATGGCCGCTTGGGCCTCTGAATTCATGGAGGAGGATCTGGATTCCCAATGCTTACGTGGCCTGTCCCTTAGTGTACAGTGATGCATGTAAAGAAATAAGGTCTGAGAGGGAGACAGGAGATAGATTTTTGAGAGGCCTCCTTCCATCTGTATTTAGGGATTTTTTAAAAAATGGTTCTGGCAAGCAGTTATCTGGTTTCTCATTTATCACCTGTTATCACCAGAGAACATTTTTTCTCTTCACCCCTCCTAGCCAGTTTGCTCACATGCAAAATGAACATTTGGGATTAGAATCAATATTACTTACATTATGTTCTATAGAAAATAATTCCCTCAAGATTGTTACTAGCAAAGAAAAATTGATGAGGCATATTTTTCTTGTTTTGCTATAAAATCTAAGCCTGATAATAAGACTAATTTTGATTCATACCTGCAGTGATCCAATTATTTGAGATGACATTTTTCCTCCTGCTTTAATCCAAATGTTAAATTTCATACTATTCTCTTGTCAAGTAAATTTGAGAAACACTGAATGATCAACCTCAAAAATTCCTGAACTCTAACACTGGTGCCGATTGACTCCTTCCCAACAGAGAGGCAGTGGTGAACCGAGTGTTTGACAAGCTGTCCCCCCTGCACCAGCACATCTACTGTGCCCTCTCTGGTTCTGCTGCTGATGCCCAAGCCATGGCCGACATGGCTGTCTACCAGCTGGAGCTCCATGGGTATGAAATGCTGGGGTCTTGACTCCACGTCTGCCAAAGTTCCCCTAACCCGTGAACTTCTGTAAAGTGTCCTGTTCCTGGAGCACTGCGTTAGGAAGTGGAAAATTCTTGTATTGGTTCCTGCTGGCACTTGAATCTCTCTAGGGTTGTTTCTGCATCTGCAAAGTGAAGATAACAGTACCTCAAATGATGTACGTGAAAGCAGTTTGAAAACTATAAATCACTCTCCTAATATAAATAATCAGGAAGAAGAAGATGATGTGGCCCACTATAATATCAGGAAGTTACCATATATGAAATCAAGATCGTTGAGACGGAAGTAACCTTATCTGCTTTACCCATAAGAGCAGGGCCCTTGCAGCCAAAAGAGAATCATGTGGGTAGGGCTGAGTAAAAGAGGGTAAACAACGGAAAGCTTCTGACCAGTTGGTGCTATGGGTCTCTAGTTCCCCTATCCATGTGGGAGGGAAGCTGGAGTTTGAACTATTGCAGCTACAGGTTTCAGGTGTCACTTGGCCGGGATGATGGTAATGGCATAGAAGAATGGGACTTAAGAAAATTATATCAACCCTTATTCCTAACATTTCCTTCAGGATAGAACTGGAAGAACCTCCACTTGTTCTGGCTGCTGCAAACGTGGTGAGAAATATCACCTACAAATATCGGGAGGACTTGTCCGCACATCTCCTAGTAGCTGGCTGGGACAAACGTGAAGGGGGCCAGGTGAGTTCCTCCAAAGCACTCCCTCCATTGGGGTTCCCCACTCCCCTGTAGAGGGAGGCAGAGGTCATATAGCATTCTAGCAATGAGTTTCAAAGACCCTACCTCTGAAAGCATAAAAGTAGTCTCAGCCATCGGGGATATGAGATACTGGGGCTTCATTGCAGGGTGCGGAGACCACCTGTTTGTCTCAGTGGGAAGGTGAGGCTTGATGATTCCTTAGCGTCACCTGAGGATGCCTCCCTTAGGTATATGGAACCATGGGAGGAATGCTGACTCGACAGCCCTTTGCCATCGGCGGCTCCGGCAGCACTTATATCTACGGTTATGTGGACGCAGCATATAAACCAGGCATGTCCCCTGAGGAGTGCAGGCGCTTCACCACAGATGGTAACTAACCAAGTGGAAGGGTACCTGGGAAGGGTTTTTTAACATGGGAAGGAAGTAGACTATGAGGAGTGGGAAGAGGAATACATGGATGACCATTTAATTTAATGTCCAAACTGGCACACTTTTGAGAGTGAAAGTAGACAGGATAAATGTCAAACTAGACAGGGCTTTGGGCAATAGGGATAAATCAGGGCTGTGCTGAGTAAACCAAATGCGGACATGCCATCCTCATAAGAACTTCATAAGAACAGTGGTGTGTTGGGGCTGACTGGGCCTTCTCATGAGAGCTGATTGCTAAATATCCAAGGATTTGTGAGCTGCTTGCTAAGCTGTTTGTAACCTGAAATCAGTCATAGTGGGAGTATTTCACCATGGACATCAGCAGATCCTACATATAAAATCTTGTTTTTTAAGCCGGTTTACTGGCACACCACTAAATATGTCTCTCTGGAAGATGGGTTTTAATTGTGAAGGTGGCAGTAAACATAGGGATGGAAGGAAGGAAAAGACTTAAGAAGCTAAGCCGTTCTCTCTCTCTCTCCCTCTCTTGAAATCTTCTGTAGCTATTGCTCTGGCCATGAGCCGGGATGGCTCTAGCGGGGGTGTCATCTACCTGGTCACCATTACAGCTGCTGGTGTGGATCATCGTGTCATCTTGGGCAATGAGCTGCCGAAATTCTATGATGAGTGAATCTTCCTCAGATTCCCTTTCTCCTTTTGTAATAAACTCTCTGGAACCAGAACCTGGGAGCGTCACTGAGTTAAATGGGTTCTCAGGGAAATGAAGCTTTAGAGGAGCGGGCTTCTTCCCTCCCAGATGTCAGCATACCCTTTTTATTCCTCTGTCCCAGGAACATCTTTCCCAGAAAAAGGAAGGGGAAGGATACTAGAATTATAAAGAGTGCTAAAAATGACAGATCGTCATGTATGAAATGATTGTGACGTATTATGAACAATAAACAGTATCATTCTGATGCCCAAGGAATGAGGGGGCAAGGGAGGAGTCGGGACTCATTCCCTTAAGACTAAGAATGGCAGGTAGACAAGACAGCAACACATGTAAGGATTAGGTAAGCACATCAGCAGACTCGCATGTAAGAGGATCCCTTTCATAAGGCATTCATTCACCTTAAACATCAACACATGAAAAATGTTGAAATATTTTGGGGCCACTTGTGAATTTCAAAGAAGAATAATAACCAAAAAAAAGGTACATTTGTGGAGCCAGCTATTGACTAAATGTTTTATAAATTTTATCTCTTAGAATTCAGCTGGATGTAGTGGCTCACACCTGTAATCCCAGCACTTTGGGAGACGAGAGGATTGCCTGAGGCCCGAGGTTCAAGACCAGCCTGGGCAATTTGGCAAGACCCTGTCTCTACAATAAATCAAAAAAATTAGCTAGGCATAGTGGTGCATGCCTGCAGTTCCAGCAACTTGGAAGGCTGAGGTGGAAGGATCACCTGAGCCCAGCAGGTAGAGGCTGCAATGGCCATGAGTGTGCCAATGCACTCCAGCCTGAGCAAAAGAGTGAGACTCCAACTCAAAAAAGAAGAAAAAGAATTCAAACCCCCTTCCCATTCCTCACATGGGTATCCATCTGTAGGATAAACAGAAGCTTAGAAAGATAAAGTCACCTGACCAAGATCACACAGCAAGTTCAGAGGCTGGGATCTGGGTTTAACTTTACTATATGCCTTTCCTCTACCACTACATAACATTTTCCATTCCCTTGAGCTCCAGACTGTATATTATCTCCTGAACCCTGCGAGAATTAGTCCAGCACACTCATTGGCACTTAAGAAGTTGTTGCCAGATGCCTGAGTAACTGCTAAACAAGGCCGAGTTCTGGTTCTATCTTTGCAGTGCACTTCCTGAGTAACGGGGAAAAAATATTCCCCTTCTGTGAGCCCTCATGTCATTTTCTGTCAAAGGAAGGTGTTAAATGATTTCTAAGGGAGTTTACAGTTCCATCATTCAGTACCATTTTGCAAATTAGTGAACAGTTAACAGGCATATTCAGCAGAAATCCTACTAGGATCTCAAGCCAAGCATACAAATTCAAAGAATTCTAAAACCATCAGATGCCCCTGCGAGTGTGAAAAAAAATCTACAATTACAAGAGCCTGGAGTTTCTAGCCATAATATTTAATTTATTTTGAATTTTAAAATGATAGTTAAAAGCCCATTTCTCCCACCAATCACAACTATAAACTCTGGGCAGTAAATAAAACAAAAGCACTCAGACACTCCAAAAAGTAGGACAAGCAGGTGAATTGTAAAGAGGGTCAGAAGTTGAAGAGTGGAATGGGGGTGGGTTTTCCATTTTTTTCCCCCATTTTTCTCCCAGCTTTGCCCTGAAGTAGACCTCAAGGCCAGAGCTGTTCTGTGTAGCAGCAGCACAAGGGCTAAATCTCCAAGAGAAACACTAGTTTTCTGGCCAGAGGAAGCAAGAAAAAGGGACCCTGCGGGCAGGAAAGTGTAGGGGAATCTCCAGACTGAGAGCACGGGAGGAAATTCCCCTAATCCAAGTCTGAACCCTCATGAGTACCAGGTTGCCTTGAGCAGCACATGTCTGTGACACACCCAGAGCAGCTCAGCAAAGACTTTAAGAACTGAATGAAGATTTAAATCTTTTTAAAATTAGAAGGCTTGGAGGAGTGCAGTGGCACATACCTGTAATCTCAGCATTTTGGGAGGCCAAAGAGGGAGGATTACTTCAGCCCAGGAGTTTTAAATCAGCCTAGACAACATAGCAAGAGCTCGTCTCTCCAAAAAAAAAAAAAATCAAAAAATGAAAAAATTAACCAGGCATGGTGGCATGTACCTGTAGTCCCAGTTACTCGGGAGACTGAAGCAGGAGGGTTACTTGAGCCCATGAATTTAAGGTTGTTGCGAGCCATGATCTTGCCACTGCATTCCAGCCTGGGTGACTCTGACTTAAAAAATAAAATTGGAAGGCTTAATTTTTCTTTACTGAAGAAGGACAAACATATGGACTTCGCAGCAACTTGGATGGCTTTAGAGTCTCATACTCAGTGATCTATCACAGAAACAAAAGTATCATATGTTCTCACATATAAGCGGACCTTGAACAATTATCAAATTCCACAAGAAAGGGATTGGCAGTAGTGGGAAACTGCCAGGATGGAGGGTGGAACTGGCAGTTGAGGGAAACTGCCAGGGGAGGGAGGGGCACCTGCAACAAGGGTACCTGCATAATGAACATTTGTATACCTAACCCTGTATTGTATCCCACATCTTTAAAATAAAATAAAATAAAAATTTTATTTATTGGCCAAATAGATGTGTTCTTATGCCTCTCATTCCAATAAAATGTTTGCACCAGCTTACAGAGACAACTTGAAACAATTATAAAAGAAGAAGAAATTGGGCCAAAGAGAAAATGAGGTTTAAAAAAGTGATCCCAAGAAGTAAAACTCATATAAAACATGAATTTCTTCCAAAATAAAATAAAATAAAAGTGGTTATCTGGAGTTTACGCTGGCTCGCAAGAGCAGATTGTAAAGTATTCAGGTATTTTGCAAGGCAGTTGATAACTACTGGTAACTTAATATTGACCATGGTGAAGTATTTATACTACAGAAATGAACAATGCTACAAGTCAGATTTTCTTCTTTTTTCCCCAGAGAGCCAGTTTAAGGACACGTATTCATCCTTAGTTGGATTAAAAAAAAAATTGGCTCTGAGCTATAGGGTAGTGAAAGTAAAGAAGGAAATAAAATGAGGTACAAGATTCATTTTTTAAAAGTCATCCAAAAAACTCAAAAAATATAATGGTAGTTCAAGACACACAGAACACTTAATGAAATGTAATATGCATAATTCCATAGAGGCAACTTCAGTAAATCCCAGAGTACCAGTATCTTAGAAACTATTTATGTTCTGCAACCATACTGTAATAAAATTGGAACTTGATAACAAAAGGACACTTAAAATTGTAAATGAACAAAATACTGCTCAGTAACATGGATTTAAAAGGCAGTCATAAATAAAATCAATTCATTTAGAACAGAATGGTAAAAATGTTACATATAAAATATTTTGGGACTCAGTTAAAGCAGTACTTAGAAAGAATTTGATGGCCTAAAATACATTTATTAGAACAAGAAAAGTTAAAATAAATGACCTAAAAATTCTACTCAAAAATTTGAAAAAAGAACTATTCAGCACACCTAAAGATAAAAAGAAAGGAAATTATAAAGATAAGAATAGAAAGCAATGAAACAGAAATAGAGAACAAAAACTAGGTAGTGAAGATTAACATTTCATTCCAAAAGCTGCTTATTTTAAAATATTTGTAAGATATTCAGACTTAGAACAAGATTGATCATGAGTAAAGCAGGACAAAATGAACAAACAAATATAGAATGAAAAGGGGGAATATCTACAGATACAGCAGAGATATAGAATATAAAAAGTACTATGAACAAGGTTATGATAATAAATTTGAAAACCTAGGTGAGATAGGTAAATGCCTAGAAAAATGTAATCTATCACAATTAGCACAAGAAGAAACACAAAACTTGACTATACTGATAAGTATTAAAGAAATTTTAAAAGTAGTCAATGGCCTCTGAGAAAAATGTTTTAAAAAAAATCCAGATGTTTTCACAGATGAGTTCCATCAAACATTTAAGGAACATGCAACCCCTATCTTACATATTTTTTCCAGAAAAATAGAAGAAGATTAAAGCTATCTAGCTAATTTTATTAAGCTAGTGTAATCATGACTCCAAATTGAGGTATGGAAAACTCAAGGAAAAAGCTCTATTTCACCTTGAACATAGATGGAAGATATAAATAATTATTTATGAACTGAATTCAACAATATTAAAAATAATACATCAAGATCAAATGGGAAATCCTTGGAATGCTAAGAGATTCAATATAATAAAGTATGTTTTTACTGTAATTTACCACATTCATAGACTAAAAAAGAAAACTTACTTGCTTTTCTCAATTGATTAGTAAAAAGCATTTGATAAAACTTATTCATTTATTTTTGAAAAACAATTAAGGAACCAAGAATCAAATAAAACTTTCTCATTTTGGTCAAGGCTGTATTCCAAAAAATTTATAACTAGCAGTATACATTTTGGGAAGATATCAAGTACCCAAGACAAGAGTGCTCACTGTAATTAACTAATTTAGCATAACACTGAAGCTTGGGCCACATAGTGAGACCCGTCTCTACACAAACACACACACACACACACACAAATTGGGCACATACCTGTAGTCCTAGTTCCTCAGGAGGCCAAGGTGGGAGGATTGCTTGAGTCCAGGAATTCAAGGGTACAGTGAGCTATGATCACACAATTGAACTCAGCCTGAGTGACAGAGCAATACTTTTTTATTCTCCAAAAAATATTAGCTGGGCATGGTAGTGTGCACCTGTAGTTCCAGCTACTTGGAAGGCTGAGGTGGAAGGATCGCCTGAGTCCAGCAGGTCAAGGCTACAGCGGCCGTGAGTGTGGTCATGAGTGTGCCACTGCACTCCAGCCTGGTGATGGAGTGAGACTCCAACTCAAAAAATAAAGCAAAATAAAAAAAAAACTACAATACAAATCAAAACATAACACTGGACCAATGATGACTACATACCATAGGCTGAGGCATATAATTAATTTCATCATTTGCATCTGAGGCTAAAAAAATGTCAATGACTCCAATAATATCATATTCCTGAGAGTAACTTCTCCTACATGTTCATGACAAA